CTCTCTCTCCTCTTCTCTCTTCTCTCTCTCTCTCCTTCTCTCTCTCTCTCTCTCTTCTCTCTCTCTCTCTCTCTCTCTCCCTCTCTCTCTCTCATCTCTCTCTCTCTACCCTCTCTCTCTCTCTCTTCGTCTCTCTCTCTCTCACCCTGCCTGGATTCACATCACTAGCTATCCCGCACCCACATCTCTGATCGCTCTCCCACCTCTACACGAACGAAGTAGTAACTTCAATGAGCACACTAGCATCTCTACACGGACCGTATCTACATTCCTCCCTACGCTGCTGTTGTAATGGCTTCAAGCCGTAAGATGATGTACTTGCTTATAATTAAAGTATGCATTCATTGTAGTAATCATTTGGTTATAGTACGAATATAATGTGTATTGCTTAAGTGCATAGCACGTCTATTCTGTTGTAAACGAACGTGTACTACCCTAGCTGTACGATCACTGCTCACATGGAAGTCAACGTCAGTTCTTATCTGGTGAAACCATTGGTTGGCCACGAGGGTCTGTATCTTATATTGCGTGCTGCCTAATATTATGGTTGGAACCTACTATCATGATATTATACTATATTGATTGACCTATTATGTATATATCTATTTTATGATTGCGTATGACTATATGATATATACTATATATGAGTTGCTATGTACTAGCTAGTATTATATATATATAGATTGCTACTATAGGATATATACTATATATTGTTACCTATAAAATATTTGATAATTACTATATTTGATTGCCTACTATATTGAATACTATCTATATATATGATTGCTACTATTATGATATATACTATATATGATTGCCTATACTATATGATATATACTATATATGGTTGCCTACTATATGATATATACTATATATGATTGCCTACTATATGATATATACTATATATGATTGCCTATACTATATGATATATACTATATATGATTGCCTATTATATGATATAAACTATATATGATTACCTATACTATATGATATATACTATATATAATTGCCTACTATATGATATATTTACTATAATATGAATAATACTCATATGATATATACTATATATGTTGCCGTATACTATATGATAATATACTATTATATGATTACATTACTGTATGAATATATACGATATATGATTGCCTATATACAGATACTATGCTATATATGAATTACCTTATACTTATGCTGATATACTTTATTTATGATTACCTATACTATTATCGATTATATATATATTATGATTAGCCTACTATATGATCTATACTATATAATATGATCTACCCTTATACTATATGGATATATACTTATATTGAATTGCCTATACTATATGATATATACTATATATGATTGCCTACTATATGATATATACTATATATGATTGCCTACTGCCTATACTTGAGTTTGGCGTTTGTCTCACCTTATAGGCTATTGCTCACCATAGCACATTGTTATAAGAAATCAAAGCCTATAGAGCGCTATTATATATGACCCGTATATGCCCTTATATGACCCGTATATACTCGTATATGGCCCGTATATGACCCGTATATGACCGTATATACCGTATATGACCGTATATGCTATATGCATTATATTACCCGTATTTTATCGCTATATGATCCGTATATGACCGTATATGACCGCCACCCCGCCCCCCCCCCCCTATATACGTATATGACCGTAATATACCGTATCATGACCGATATTCATACGTTATCATGCCTTACTCATGCCCGTATATATCCCGATATGATGAACCGTATTGATTATCCGTATATATCGTATATTATGGACACAGTGGATGTAGATGACCTCAGTGATATGGAGTTAGGCTTGTCCTGTAGGCAGCTATAGAATATACCAGAGGTGTTTTTAGCACAGGCGGCTACATGGGCGATATATAAGCAACTATCGATGCCCTCGGATGTCGTGGCTCGCACTTCCTGTTTGCTGTAACACTGTGGAACCGATTACAGCAAAAATATTGGTGTGTAGTGTGTGTGGTGTGTGTGTGTGTGTATGTATGTATGTATGTGTGTGTGATGTGTGTGCTGTCGTGAATGGTGTGTTGTGTGTGTGTGTGTGCTATGTATTATGTGTGTGTGTGTGGTGTGTGTGTGTGTAGTGTGTGTGTGTGATGTCGCATGTGTGTCGTGTAGTGTGCGTGGTGTGTGTGCCGTGGGCTGTGGCTATGCTATGTATGGTATGTTATGTGTCTGTGTGTGTGTGTTGTGTGTGTGTGTGTGTGTGTGTTATGTGTATGTGTGTGTGCGCTGTGCGTGTCGTGTGGTGTGTGTGATGTGTGGTGCTGTGTGTGCGTGCGTGCTGTGTGGTGTTCGTGTGTGTGTGTGTGTGTGTAGTGTTGCCTGTGTGGGCGGTGCTGGGTGAGTGCCGTGGTCGCGCGCGCTGTGGCTGTGTGAGTGCGTGCTTCGTGCGTGTGTGTGTGTGTTGTGTGTGTGTGTGTTGTTGTGTGTGTGATGCTGCTGTGTGTATGTAT